GGGATCCCTGGGTGGCGCAGCGGTATAGCGCCTGCCTTTGGCCCAGGGCGCGATCCTGGAGACCCGGGATCGAATCCCACGTCGGACTCCCGGTGCATGGAGCCTGCTTCTCCCTCTGCCTGTGTCTCTGCCTCTCTCTCTGTGTGTGACTGTCATAAATAAATAAAAATTTAAAAAAAAGTTTTAAAAAAAAGCAGTTCCGTGTGCAATAACTTTATATAGTGATGCTATTATTCCAGAAAATCAAACCAGGTATGATTAATCCCCAATGAAAACTCACACAAGTCATCTTTGTACACTTTCCATTCCCTTTCTCCATCTCAGTCTCTTCTCAGTATTTCAGCCTGTCTACCCATACTTCCTATCCTCTATCATCTTGTTTACCCTGTCCTTTATGTCTACATGCCACTTTCTGCTTCATCCACTATTTAATGAGAAGAAAAGAACTTTTCCTTTCAATCAAAACTATTTATTTAACTTACCTCCTCCAAAGTCCCACCCATGAAATTTGTTACCAGCATTTGAATATATTATTAGTATGATTACTGAATTATGGGATGCTCTGAGATTCCTTAAGCAAGTTTAAGAGCATATAAGCTATCCATAAAGGATGTCCCCTGCCTCCAGATCTATTTTCTCAGGCTTCACATTCCTGGAAGTCAGCCAGCACACCATGAGTCACTTTGAGGAACTCAGGTATTGGAATCAGAATGCCCATATGCGATACAGCACGTTACTAGACTTGCCATGGGAATGAATACACACCTACTACCAGAGCCATGACCTATTTTTCTCAGTTTTCCACTCAGTAATATTTCAAGTGTGTTTCCAGGACTACCCAAGTACTGGCATTATCTTGGTGCATTTATCAAAGGCCAGAGACTTGCTGGTTCAGAATTTTTATTGGTCAGCACACTTAGAGTAGATGAAGTTCTCAGACAGCAGGATTGCAAAGACTAATAAGCTCCTAAGTTAATATATGAAACCAGAACGAGGGCAGCCCCGGTGGCTCAGCGGTTTAGCTTTGCCTTCATTCCAGGGCGTGGTCCTGGAGACCTGGGTGGAGTCCCACATCAGGCTCCCTGCATGGAGCCTGCTTCTCCCTCTGCCTGTGTCTCTGCCTGTCTGTCTCTCATGAATAAATTAATAAAAACTTTTTAAAAAATATACAAATAAATAAAACGAGAACGACACTGGATTCATTGATGAGAAATATAACTACCAAGGAGACTGAGGAATCATATCATCTCGCCAAACCAGTTACATTAATAAATAACTTGGGAGGAAATAAGAGGAAAATAGGCAATCTTTAAACACTTTGCAGTAATGAAGATCTCCCTATTGAAACACAGAATACTTTAAATCTAACTTGGCATTAGGGGCACAGTAAAACATACTGGGCTTCTTCTACAATCACTCTCCGCTCACTCCCGTACACCCTCTCTCTCTTTCCTAACCATGTAGCTGTCCATGTAGCTGTCTGGTTACATTGGTCTCTGACTAGGGAGACAGCAGAGAACTTAGACAATTTATGGCATGAGGAGCTAAGAGGCATTCTGAGTACTCTGGAAGAAAATGGGATATGGTAACTGGTGGATCTGAGCTCTTCAGCCCTCCTTTTCATTACCTGTAAAGTGAATAGAATACCAGGCAGGAACACTGTAAAAATCATATAGGTTATGTGTGGGGGAGTGCTTTGTGGAAACTGTTCCCGTGTTATATATAAACAAGATGAAAGGGATCTCTGGGTGGCTCCAAGGTTTAGCGCCTGCCTTCCGCCAAGGGCATGATCCTGGAGTCCTGGGATCCAGTTCCCAGATCAAGTCCCCCATAGAGCTCCCTGCATGGAGTCGGCTTCTCCATCTGACTGTGTCTCTGCCTCTCTCTCTTTCTGTGTCTCTCATGAATAAATAACTAAAAATTTTAAAAAATAATAATAATCAAAGTGGAGGCTTTTGGAGGGAGGTTAATCAGTCTATTTCACTTCCCACCTCCCTCTATTTATACCCTGATCCAGTATACTCCTTCACTGGGCTACCAGTGTCTTCATAAATGATGGATGAATGAACAATCCAGGATAAGGGCAGAGAGACCACGGAGAAGTCTCCACTGTTACGCCCCTCAAATTCCACATCCCAATCTATCAGCTTCCTCTTCAAAATATATTCAGAATATCCCAAATCAAGGATGGGACAGACACATAAAATTAGAAAAGTATTTCAAAGTCCACCAAAATGGAAATGATTGATTGGATATATTGTGGTACATGACTACATGAAACAACCTCAGGTTAAAAGGTGTGGTCGTTAATATTGAAATAGAAAACCTTCAAGAGGGCAGCCCGGGTGGCTCAGTGGTTTAGCGCTGCCTTCAGCCCAGAGCGTGGTCCTGGAGACCCCCGAGAGAGTCCGACGTTGGGCTCCCTGCGTGGGGCCTGCTTCTCCCTCTGCCTGTGTCTCTGTCTCTCTGTCTCCCTCTCTCTCAGGAATAAATAAATAAAATCTTAAAAAAAAAAGAAAGAAAGAAAACCTTCAGGATTTGGCAAAACTGCACAGGAAGGTACAGAAAGATATACAGACAAGTAACAGTTATTTCCTCTGGCGGGAGACTGTGGTTCGGAAATAAGGAACGGGGAGACTTTTTCACCTAAGAAGGACTTGTGGTACTCACGAGTATTAAGAACGACACGAGGAAGAAAACGCCGGGTTGGAAAGCTTACTTTCGTCACGGTAGTCACGGAGAAAGTCTTCGTTTCCTCTTCTGGAGGATGAAAACGGCAATACTACTGACTTCACAGGACCGTGGTGAGGATTACGTAGAGTGAACGCGCCCCCACTGTGCTAGCACTGCGCCCAGCACACCAACAGCACGTTGACGGCCTTGGACAATGTCCGCTGCAACGCCTGTACCTGAGGCGAAGGAAAACCCGCCGAAGCCAAGCAGCGGAAGCGCCGGCCAACAGAAGAGCAGTGAGCAACAGGGAGCGGACAAACGCCAAGGGCTCCGCCCGAGTTCCCCCGCAGTCTGACTGGCTGAGGACAGGACGCCAGCGGCTACCACGCGCCGATTCCTCGGGAAGAATGGCGGTTGGTTAGTGGAAGGGCGGGAACCAGACGACTTTGACGCTCCTTAGCTCGCGCCTGCGTCCTCCGCTCCGCTCCTTGAGGCCTTTCTGGTGCGCATGCGGCGGGCTTTCCAAGCTTTCCGGCATGCCGCACGGCCGCTTCCGGTGCAGCGCGCTGGCTAAGATGGCGCGGCTGGTGAATGGACTGTGTGAAGCTGACTTCTGTTGGGAAGGCCCCGAGCGCTGCGGCTCCTCCTTCTCCCCTGCAGCTGTGGCCTCGAAGACCACGAGTGGCCGCAAGCCGGGCCTCGCCCCTCTGGGGAGCCATAGGGAGTAGGTGGCCGGTGCGCCACCCCGTCTCCCCTCGGGGCACCGGTCCAGCATTTCCTGGAAGATTTTTTTTTCAGCCCTTCCATGTAATCAAGTATCTCTTGAAGGAGGGAGTAAAGGAATGTGTTCTCCAGCTCCTACCTGTCTCCTCTAGACTATTTGGGGCAGTTGACAGGCAGGAGTTAGGAGCTCTGCTACTGACTTCTCTTGTCTGCACAGCTGACTGGAGCATGAAATGAGTGGAGGGGGCAGCCCCCTCCTTCCACAGGGTGGCAGGCAGCAGTTGCCCCCAACTCCCTGCCCACAATACCCTGGGAGTGGGAGGAGCCTTCTAGAGAAGCCTCATTGGCATCTGCATTCCTTATTCTTTCTATTGACCTCCATTTCCTCATTCAGAAAAACTAGCTCTTGGAGGAGGCCTCCAAAGCCTTCCCTAATTGATCCATTCTGGGCTGTCCCTCTGTTCCCCGCCATGATGTTCAGTGAAGCCCATCTGTTTGCCTTCCCCTAGGCTCTGGAAAAGTATTCTTTTTACCAGTCTGTGTAGAGCAGAATGAAGTCTGGGACTCTGGGAACTGCGCTGAACAGGCTGTCGTGAGGGCCGTGCTGGGGACAGTGTGTGCAGGGAAATGTGGGGGGCCCAGGCAAGGTTCTACTGTAGGAAACACTGACATGCATTCCTAGGATTTACCTTACTTCTCTTTGCTTCCCCAAATTAAATTTTTTGAAGGGAGGGGGGTTTGGAGGTAGAATATTGTTCTTTGCTCTTATTAAATCCTCAAAAAGACTGCGGCAGAAACCATGACACTCGCTCTCACCATACCTGGACAAGGTACTAACATCTGGGTTGCACAGGCCAGGAGCTGAGACAACATGCTCACCTTTTACCAGGTTTTATGCATTGAATTTCAGAGAAGGAAATATCTAAGTCTCTTCAGAATCAGTGAGTTATAGATTGTTTCTTAGTACTCATCAACCCCCTTCCTTCTTCTTGGGTCTTCTTACACTTGTGGTGTCCCCTCTCAGCATGGGAGCCATTGGGGGTCGGTGGCCCCCAAAAAGCTGCTGCTTCTCTGCATATCATACTGAGCTGAGGAAGGGTCTACCCTTGGATCCTTCAAGACCTCTGTGCCTCTATGTGAGGATTTCCTTTTTTTTTTTTTTTTAAGATTTTATTCATTTCAGAGTGAGCTCAAGGGAACAAGTGGTGGGAGAGGCAGAGTCAAAGGGAGAAGCAGACTCATGGCTGAGCAGGAAGCCCGTTGCAGGGTTCGATCCCAGGACCCCGGGGTGATAAGCTGAGTTGAAGTCAGAGTCAACTGACTGAGCTACCTATGCACCCTGAAGATAAAGTTTCTTTTTTTTTTAAGATTTATTTATGTATTTATTTATGTATTTATGTATTTATTTATGATAGGCAGAGACAGAGAGAGAGGGAGGGAGACACAGGCAGAGGGAGAAGCAGGCTCCATGCTGGGAGCCCGACACAGGACTCGACCCCTGAACTCCAGGATCGCACCCTGGGCCAAAGGCCGGCGCTAAACCACTGAGACACCCAGGGATCCCCGAAGATGAAGTTTCTAACACAGAAAATTAGCACCAAAGGTTAAGAGAGTGGAAGGGGGAACACCTTTATTTTCATTAGAAATAGTAATGCATATAAACCTGTAGAAACCGTTAAATATAACTGACAAGGAAGCAGGAACCTGGATGGGGGTGATGTAGATGAGAAATCTTAGAAAGAGGAACCCAGATACCATGCTTGCTCTGAGAGTAAGTCACTTAGAGCAGCTGTCCCCTGTGGCTTAATCCATCCTTCCTGCTTTCCTCTTCTGTGAGTGGCTGGGATACAAAGCAGGACCTCTTCTGAGGTAGAAGGACCTAGGGCAGCTGCTAGTTGTCTGTATTGGTTTAGGATACTTGTAGGCCCCATCCAGAAACCAATGGAAGTTCCAGGAGAGACTCAAACTACAGAACTGATATGTTGGCTTTCCTACACCCTGGTAGCCCGTGTCCCTCCTTGGGGTGTGAGTGTGTCTTCTCAGTGTGCCCCCTGCTGGCGGGTGAGGACAGGGTTCTTGGGGAAGCTTTTCTCACACCCAGAGCACGTGGAGGGCTCCCCCCCCCCCCCGCGTGTGTCTTCTGCTGGGCACTGGCACGGGAGCTGCTCTTGAAGCTTTTCCCACACTGTGCACACGGGTGGGGGCCCTGCCCTGTGTGGCCTCGCTGGTGAGCACTGAACTGGGAGCTGTTGTTGAATCTCTTCCCACAGGTGGTGCACTGGTAAGGCTTCTCCCCAGTGTGGGTCCTCTGGTGTACGATGAGACTGGAGCTCTGGTTGAAGCTTTTCCCACACTCCCCACAGTGGTAGGGTCGCTCCCCCGTGTGTGTCCTTAGGTGGGCAGTGAGGTTGGAGCGCTCGCTGAAGCCTTTCCCACATTCCCTGCACATGTGAGGCTTCTCTCCTGTGTGGATTCTCTGGTGCCGAACGAGGTAAGAACCTCGACTAAAGCTTTTCCCACACTGCTGGCACTTCGATGATTTCTCCACTTGGGCGACTGGCTGGTGGAGACAGGGAGAGCCCCGAGAGCCATCTCCCAGGCTTAGGACATGGGCACAGGCCTTGTCCCCAGCACGGAGTATCTGCTGACTCCACCTCTCCTGGGATGGGGGTCTCCCCTCTTGCTCCCTCGCAGGGTGTCTCCACTGCCCTCTTAGCAGAGGCTCGCCTTTCTGGCCTCTCTTGGGCTCAGGGCGCCAAAACGTCTCACTAGACTTTCTCCATAGGGTCTTCTTCGCTTCTGCTTGCCCCAAACCATCCCATTTCCGATTCTCCTTTTTAGTTTTGTTCTTGATCTCAAGACCTGAGGGAACAAAGACACTGGACTGTGGAGAAGGAACAGAGCATTGAGGAAAGTTAGAGTTAAAGCAGCATAAAGGAAATACCTAAAAGGAGTCTTTTTTTGAAGATTTTATTTATTTATTCATTCATTCATTCATTCATTCGAGAGAGAGAGAGGCAGGAATCCCTGGGTGGCGCAGCGGTTTGGCGCCTGCCTTTGGCCCGGGGCACAATCCTGGAGACCCAGGATCGAATCCCACATCGGGCTCCCGGTGCATGGAGCCTGCTTCTCCCTCTGCCTGTGTCTCTGCCTCTCTCTTTCTCTCTGTGTGACTATCATAAATAAAATAAAAATTAAAAAAAAAAAAAAAAAAAGAAAGGAGGGTGATGCTGGAGGAGAAGGGGACAGAGTCCAGGCTGGAGGCCTGTGGCAGTCTGAGAAAACCAAGGAAAGGAGCTGCACAGGAAAAACACCACGTACTCCGTGGAAGATGTGGTGGAGGCGGACTGTCACTGGAGGGCAAGGAAACAAGGGTCGGCCCGCAGGGCACTGAGCATGGCAGCAGCAGAGGCAGCTCCCTCTCAAGTGCTGGCCTGAGGGACTCTGGGTGGACTTCCCAGCTGTACCTTGGCGGTCAGAGCCAGCAGTGCTACCCATGTGTATGGGAACAGGACTGGCAGGTGAGGCCTCCTTCCCGGTCAGGATCCTGGAAGTCTTTCCATCCCTGGACCATCTGTCCAGGCCCCTTCTCCAGCCTCCATGGGCTCGCCCTCCTGCTGGCTCAGCTCTCCAGCCTCCGTTGCCCTTCCCTCCCGGCCAGGAATATCACAGCTTGCCTCCTTGGGTGCAGAGGCCCAGGAGCTTGAGAGGGCATGCACTTCTCAGAAAGGACACAGGGCTCGGGCACACGGCCTCCCCTCCCCTTGTGGTACCTCGACCCCAGGCCATTGAACTTGGTGTGAGACTGCCCTGGGGCCCGCAGAAGGCCCTGCTCCCCGAGTCGTTCTGCCACCACCCTGTCGGGCTGGCTGTGCTGAGGAGTCTGGAGTTCCTCATGATGTTGAGCATTCCAGACGATGGCCAAGACTGGCTTGGGTGCATCGCCGCAGGGCCCGCCTGCTGTACAAGGACAGGGGACACGATGACATACAGGGGCCTGCATCCCACACGGTAAGTAAGGTTAGCAGCCCAGGAGGTGACACGTGGTTTGTGCAGCTCTGCCACGACTGTGCGCTGCCATCCCTGGGAAGCCACCACAGTGGGCTCCTCTCCTGAAACACAGACGTTCAGCAGAATGGAAAGGCCATCCTCTGATGATAAGGGGTTGTGGAGTATTTACCAGAGCCGCCCTTTTGTTTCTCTTTCTCCTGAATCCCCTCCCCCCCATTTCTCGTGAGGTGACCTGTGTGACCTGTGATGCTCGCCCATGTCCACAGTTGGGGTAATTCCTGAGGGCGTGTGGCTCTCCTGGTGTGACACCCTGCAAGGGCTGGCTGCCTCCTGAAGGTCTGGGCCTAGTAGCACAGCAGCACAGCTCAGGTGCATGCCAGGCTCACCCCTGCCCATCGGGAATGCTCTCCAAGGTGTGTGAGCGCACGTTCACTCGCGTCGCTGTGGTGTCCCTCGGATGGTGCCTCGTTCTTTTCAGCGTTCTTTTAAGCTACACGCGGCCGCAGGCTTTACCTCCGCACTCAGTCCCCATTGCTTCCTGCGTCCTGCCCCCGCCTTGTTCCCGCTCCCTGTCACAGGTGTTGTCCGCCCTGTCCTCACCCCTCTGGCGCCTAGCTTTACCTTTCCTACAGTCTGCGTGTCCTTCCTACGCTCAGACTCTCCCTGTTTGTCTCCTGCTTCCCTCGCCCCAACAGTCTCCACACTCCTGTCTGTGGCCTTCACTCTTGCATCTTCTGGTCTATGTCTCTCTCTTAGCAAATGAACACAGCCAGCCTGGACCTGTGGGACGGGACCTCCTTACCCAGAGAGTTCTTTCTGTCCTTCTTCCATGTCACCCCCTTGTAGATGGCCCTCTGTGCAAAGCCCACGTGCGTCTGTCCTTCCTGACAGAGGGATCCGGCTCTGTCCTCACATGGGACCGGTCCCTGTAACAACATGGGGGGCCGCTGCTACCCATAAAACAGCACTGCTGTTGCCTGGCATGGGGCAGAGATGGGACCACAGGCTTCCTCCCTGGGAAGCACCAGGGGGAGCAAAGGGCCACGTGGAGACATCAGATGGATAGACAGCAAGCAAAGGTGTGCCAGTGTGTGGACCTCATGATCTTTCTAACATCTTGGGGAGGAAGGGGCTTGGGCTTAAGAGTGAAATGGGAACCTCAGGAGACAACATGCATCAAGCACACCTCACCTGGGCCCCAGCTGCCCAAAGCCAGTGCCTGTCTCCTGGTCTCAAAACCCTTCTTCTGGGCCAGGTTCCTGGGAGCCTGTGCCAATAGCCAGGCTGGGGAGAAAACAGTCTCTGGTGGAAGGCAGCTGCCACGAGCAGGGGCTCTGAGTGCGGTCACAGTCCAGCAGCACTGGGAACCCGTCACAAGGCATCTTCCTTGGCTCCACCTCCCCCCACTGAATCTGAAGCTCTGGGCAAGGGGGCGGGAGGCATGCCCCCCAAGTGAGTACGAGTATAATGAAGTCTGAGGACCACTGCCAGTGCCAGTGCCCTCTGTTGAAAGGCTCCTTTCAACAGATCATTGGTATAATAGCTGTTTATTTAAAAAGATTTTTTGTTTCATTCTAAAGCAGTATATGGGATGCCTGGGTGGCTCAGTGGTTGAGAATTTGCCTTGGCTCAAGGCATCACCCTGGAGTTCGGGGATTAGAGTCCCACCTTGGGCTTCCTGCATAGAGCCTGCCTCTTCCTCTGCTTAAGTCTTTGTCTCTCTCTGTCGGTGTCTCTCATAAATAAATAAAATCTTTAAAAAAATAAAGCAGTGTATACAGGTTATAGGAAAAAAAATAAATAAATGAAGGGCTTGAGCTCTGAGCCCCACCACCCAGAGATGACCCTAGTACTCAAAATAGCACAGTAACTCAAGCCTTTTATTTTTTTTCACACTAGCATATATATTCTGTTCTTGAAATCCCTCTTTAAGAATCTAGTAAGGAAATGGTTGTTTTGTTGACTTATTAATGGAGCCTCAGAGGACACCACAAGATGTGATCCTGAGGAGGTTACAGTACTTGGGATCTGAGCAGCCTGAAGGCAGGATGAGCAGCAGAAATGGAAATCAGGCACATGGTTAGTCCTGCCCCCCTTCACACTCAACCCCAAAGTCTCAGAAGCCACACGCCAGAGGGTGGCAATGTTTCCAAGAATTTAAAAAAAAAAATGCTAGGATTTATACTGATACTCATTGTTTCATCTGCTTAGAAAACACTATAACAAATAGACCTGTTAGACACTTTTCCATTTCATAAACGGAAGGTAGACAATCCACAAACGGAAGGTAGACAACACAAACAGTGTGAATATGTAATGTTTTCCTCTAGGATTTGGATTAAGTAAAGAAAACTTACTGAATAGGCGTACCGCTTGACTGACTCAGTCAGAAGAGCATGTGACTATCTTGAAGTTGGAGTTTGAGCCCCAGGTTGGGTGTAGAGATTACTTAGATAAGTAAAATTTTAAAAATAAGTTACTGATCACCCTATAATGGAAGCTTACAAGGCAGCAGTGGTTGTGGGTGGTCTTGAAACGTGTACAACCACAGTGCTTCACTGGAAGAGATGTAGAAAGACAGAACCTTGGTCTGACCCCCTAATGGAGTATTATTCAGCCTTGAAATGAGCAAAGTAGTGATGCAGGCTTGACATCTGCTCAGTGAGGGAGAGCAGGCAGGGAAGGTCACTTGTTGTAGGATACTCTTTTTAGAAATCTCAGAACGAGCAAATCCACAGAATAAAGAATAACTTCTGCAATGGGTCCAGGGTTTCCTTTTGGGGGGCTGAAAATGTTTTGGAACTGGATAGAGGTGGTGATTGTATCACCTTGTGAACGTGTGTGCTGAATGCTCCTGGACTGTTCACTTGAAAATGGTTATTTTTGTTACATGAATTTCACTCCAGTTAAAAAATGTTTTGAAATTTTTTCTAGGAGCCTGGGTAGCTTCGTCCGTTAAGTATCTGTCTTTGGCTCTGGTCATGATCTGAAGGTCCTGGGATCAAGCCCCACATCCGTGTTTGCACTCAGCTGGGAAACCGCTTGCGATTCTCTTTCTCCCTCTTACTGACTCACCAAAAATTAAGCTGGATGAGAAAGGGGTTTTGTCTCAAGTACATGAAAAGCTGGTGTGTGTGTGAGGGTAATTGTACAGAAGTGAATATACCTGGTTTAGAAGTAATAGAATTAAATTGTAGCAAAGGAGAATTAGGGTGACACATAAGAAATCACCCTAAGTGCTATTACCCTCAGGTAGCATTTCAAATTTTGTTTTGTGACTATTTTAAAAGCATTGAATCTAGAACCCCGCACCTTACTCAAGCTTAGACCTGCATTCCTCCCTAGCCCCCAATGAGGGCAGAGACTTCTGCTTACCTTCTGACTGTTCCCCTGCTCTTTGTTGTGAGCTCCATAACCCTTCCAAGGTGCTTTCCTCTGGATGAACCTGTTTCAGGTGGGATCTCGGGGACTCTCTAGCTGCTCCCAACAGGGTTGTCTCTTCGTTCAGCACTTTCCAGTCCTCAGAATCTAAGACCTGAGAACAGAACCCATCACCTGTCACTATAAATCCCTGCCTCATGGACTGTAAAGCCCTATGAGTGGCATTAGGAAACGACATGGGACATAAGGAAGCAGAAGAGAAATACTCTCAGGGCCCTTGTAACTTAAAAAAGGATAATAATAAAGAATAGAATTTGGTCTCATTCACCTGGTCTCTAGTGACTAAGACCATTACCTGAAAGCACCGAGCAGAGTAGTGGCGTGGCCAAAGCTGACCAGGGAGCACATCTGCTGCAGGAGAGCACGTCAGCCTCCTGTACGGCACACTGCTGCCACCACTGCGTGTGGGGCCTCTCCCCCGACGTGCGGGGCCTCACTACATCTGCTCAGTTGGCTCAGCAGAAGAGAAAGCCCTCCCCTGGGCCCTGTCTGAACCCCACAGCCTGCTCCAGGACTCTGCTGCTAGACTGTCATCCACCCTCTGCCTACACAGAACCTAATAGGTCTTGTTAAAGCTCAGCTCATACTGTCCCTGTTGACATTGCCTTCTGCCCTACACCTCTTCTCCTGGATCCTAAAGCCAACCCTCACTTCCCTGCCAAGCGTGCCAAATGCTCTGCCCCCTGAGGCTCCTGAGACAGCTGCTCCTTCCCTCAGCTCAGCTCCAGTGTTCCCTCGGAGATGCCACGCCCACTCCTGTCTGCCGTGCCCCCCCCCCCCCCCCAGTCATTCTCCAGCACAGCAGCTGGCTCGGTCCCATAGAGCACTTCTCTGAAAGTGTCTGCTTTCCTTTGCTTGTTGTCCCTTTCCCCCATGGAGTGTGGGCTCCTGCGGGCCAGGGACCACGCCTGCCCTGTTCACTGGGAAATCCCCAATACGTGACACACTGCAGGTACCTCAATGCTCCCTGGGTCCCTCAGAGCCACCTGCATCCCTTACGTCCCAAGCTTACAACTGTTCTTCAAGTGACTGAGGGGTGGTACACAGCGGCAGCTGGCGTCCTGGCAAGTGCTGCCAACCTCCCCTGCTCCCTCTCACCTCCACTTCTTGCTCACCTGTTTCATGCTCTGCCTTTCACATTCCAGAGAGATTTTAGGTCACTCTTTAACCCTTACAATCCTATACCGTTTGCTCCTATGAACAGCTTGGCTGTGAAATGTGGGTGTCACAGGAGAGACCGTCACCACAGAGAGAGGGCGAGGGGATCTGGAGCAGGATGACTATCAGCATGCAGGGGCTCCCGCTCCTCTCCAAACAACTCTGCCTCCACGCATGTGCTACTGCTTGCCCGGCTCCCCTCCCTCCCAGTTGTTACTATCCCAATCCCATGGATCCTTCATGAACTTCCTCAGTTCGGACCCTAATGTGTCCCCACCACACGGCTCTGCCTTCTCCACATTATGTCAGCACCACTCTTCCTCCCACAGCCCAAGGACAGGTCTCCCTCGTCCCTGAGGATGGAAGCCAGCATCTCCCATTGCAGCCATGCAGTCTCTGCACCCAGCGAGCTGCTTCCTGGTGACCAGAGGCTCTCAGGCTACAGCGTCCCTCTGACCCACACTCCTCATTACTATGTGCCTCTCTCAGACTCTGGGATCTCACTTGTCTTCTGCCCACAAATCCCACAACCAAAGCCATGTTCCTTTTGTCCTTCTGTGCCTTTCTCACCTCCCTTCTCCTAAAAGGACAATATGGTTACGCTGACTGGATGTCAGACCTAGTCTCTCTTTGACAAGTGCATACTTTGTGAAAGCATCACCTGCCCCATACTGACCCCTGAAACCCGGCAGCAGGAGCAGCTCTGATACAACTTAACTGTTGAACACATGGCATCTGCACTCAGGGAACCTCTCAGCAGGAGACTCTGGGTTTTAATTCACCAACTCATTCCCCTACTCCTGAGTGAGGGATAGTTGGCCATTCCCTGGCCTTCTGTTGGAGCTATCTGAGCTTTTACATCTGTATTAGGGACCCTAAACATTCACTGAATTTATCAGTGTCTACATTATTGCAGCAAATGAGAAATTCTCCCTATAGATACAGAACACAGGACCACCCTAGGTAATGCATAGTTTCTGGTGGGTGGTGGAGGGCTACTGTGCATTTCTCCACTGGGCTCTCTGCACTAACCAGATTCCTGTGTTTCTCATTCAGTTCTTCATTACTGAACTCACCAGGTTCTGAATGTCTCTTTTCACTTGTTGTCCAGACCCAGTCTGTATATCCTCAACCAGAGCCACAGCTTATTCACCATTTTCTAGATGTTGCTCCTTCACCCGGGTCTGGATCTCCTCCGGCAAGATGGTCAGAAACTGCTCCAAAACCAGCAGCTCCAGCATTTGCTCTTTTGAATGTATCTTAGGCCTTAGCCACTGACAACAGAGTTCCCAGAGCTTGCTGAAAGCTTCATGGGGGCCAGCTACCTCCTGGCAGCAGAACTGCCTGAAGTGCTGGCGGGAAGCTTCGGGGTTGGGGTTGTTGCTGTGAAAGGTTGATTTCTGTCCCTGTGAGCAGTTCTTGCATGGGAATGGGTATGCCTGGGGACTCCTTGGTGCAGCCATGATTTGCTTCAGCAAACTGGCTGACTGGTAGCCACTTCTACCCTGGAGATCAGATTCCATTTCTTCTCACATCATGGGGAAGCCAGTCTCCTGGACACCGGTGAAAGTCTTTCTAGAATCAGAAAGACATAAGAATAGCTTAGTGGTGCACAATCACAGTTGGAAAAGACTCGACTTGGAAGGGAGGCTGCAGGAAATGGTCAAAAGCATAAAGTTATCTCCCATTCCTTCCCTCTGCTTCTCATGATGTACCTTCTGTCCTCTTCCTTTGCTCCCTCTACAATCTGAGGATCTAAAGCACTGGAAATACCCAAACAGCTTTCTCTATAGCCAGACTGGTGTGTGCTCATGAATTTCCCAAACTACTTTCACAGTGTAGTCCAGCTGTTCTTTCTCGTGTTCACCATATGCCAGGGTCTTGTTCCTCGCCCTCCCTCCCCTCAAGAATCAGAGCCACCTTCCCGGTAGGTACCTCTGGATTAACCCCTTCATCATTTACACCCTCCTCCCTACCACCACCAGGATACATAGTGTGGAGAATTGACTGGCTTGATGTATGCTTTTAGTTTCCAGTATTTCTTCTGAATGCATCTTCTTCCTTTGTGATCTAGCCCCTCTAAACTCCTCTGGCTCGGGTGCAGCTATTCATTACAAGACCCCCCTCCCCCCACAACCCCCACCCCAGGAGTGGCATCTGACATCAACTGAGCCTGTCGAAAGCCTCTGAGGTTTTACCTACAGGTGGAGTGGGAGAAGTTCCAAATTTCCTAGGAATTGCTGAATCTGGAAGATGTAATTGTGTGACTCAATACTCCAGTACTCCACCAAAGGAGTGAACCTGTTCACAGGAATAAAAAAAAAAAAAAAAAAACTTAAAAAAAAACTGGATCAAGGTTGCTCTTCTTCCAAAGAACTTGAACTGCCTTCACTTATAATCTTTTTTACACATACTGCGCCCCAAGAGGCTGTAGATAGAGAAGTGGAAGGCGCCACTAGTAGCATTTAGGAGCCTCACAAGGCACAGCGCCTCATGTGCCTTCGTGTGCTTGGGCAGGCCAAGCCCAGCCCCCGAAGATGTTGCCATGCCTCAGATTTTCTCCGTCCCGCACCCTACCCTGATGACTAACTCAGTAAATGCTATCGTAATTCCCTGCGAAGACGGAGCCCCGCACCCTACCCTGATGACTAACTCAGTAAATGCTATCGTAATTCCCTGCGAAGACGGAGCCTGTGCTCCTCTTGACCCCTAACGTGTCGTCTGTAGTTGGTTTGAGAACGCTGCTCTGGTGTTTCACTCTGGCGAAGACCCGGGCGCTCGGTGGAAAGCAGGACGAGGTGGGAGCCGCCTGGTGCGCGTCTCGCTCGGCGTTAATGCCCTGATCGTCCGGGGCGCGAGGGTCGGGAGACTCCGCGGCGGCGTGAAGAAGCCACCTCAGGTCACAGCCCGCAGGGAGTCCCGCTGGCCGGCTCGAGGGAGGGGTGCTGTCTGGGCCTGTGCCCACAGCCCTGAAAAGACTCGCAGTGGCGAGGGGGCTGGCAGGCTGACGTCGGACCTCGTTTTGAGCCCGCGGCCACGAGGAAGCAAATCACTCAACAAGTCGCTCAGCCGCGGGTCCGGAAGTCAATGCCTGGATCCCCCGGCGCAAGTCCGGGGGAGCACGCTGCGCATGCTCGTGAGCAGAGCCATTGGACTACAGCTCCCGGCATGCCCTACGAAGGCCTGTCGCCGTTCCTTGCCAGCTCGAAGAGACTCAGCAGCAAATAGACGCGAAAGGCCGCCCTCTGGGAGCCAATCCCCGAGGGGAGGGGGCGGGCCCTCCTTCTTAGTACTTCTCGCGTCATTCCTCCTCAGCCAGTGGGAGTGTCCGCGACGTGCGGCCTCGGCCCCGCCCCCAGCCCTGGCTCCTGGGTCCTGCATCCCTGGTGCCCTGAGAGGTGAGTCCGCGGCGGGTGGGCGTGGGGTGCAGGCAGTCAGGGACGCTGTCGCCTCAGGCGCCACCCCGGGCTCGCACGCAGCCACGAAGTTGAGCCGCGGGCCTCAGAGCCGTAGCGTCTCCCATCTCGGGGGCTGCCCGGGCGCCCTCGGAGGCCGGCGCGGAGGGCCTGCCGGCTGTCGGGAGCGAGCAGACGCGGCGCTCCACCTGCCCTGCCGCGAGCGGGGCCCTCCGCGCCCTCCGCGCCCCTGCCCCCCAGCTCCCCGCGAGATGCTGGAGGCCCGCGCCGCCCGGCTGCCGGGGAGGTGGCGCAGGCCACCTGTGTGACAACTCCAACTTTTCCTGGGGTTTCCCGACCGCCAGTAACGGCACGTTGCGCAATTCCTCTGAGACCTTGTGCGCTTGTCGATGAAATAAAAGAAGGATTTCCCCCAGTTCCCCGCAGGACGTTATGACTTTCCTCTATTTCAAGGCAGTTGAGGAAAGTGCCAGGGGAACAGACTGTCCCCACCCTCAGGCCCTGTGGTGCACTCAGGAGCTTGGGGCCTGGCCTTGTCACGCCCTCCCCAGCACCTGGCTAACACTGGGACAGACTTGTACGGAACCATGAGCCCCAAGGCCTGAGCCGCTTCAAGGAGAGAGAACCCGGCGCCCCGAGATGGCGGCCAAGATGGAGATCACTCTGAGCTCGCAGTCTCACATTCAGACTTCCTCCAAGCCAGAAAGACACATAATAGCAAAGCTGGAAGACAAACGGGAACCCACTCTGCAAAAAGACCGCCCCGATCCTGAGCTCTCCCGCCAGAGCTTCCGACAGTTCTGTTACCAAGAGGTGTCCGGACCCCAGGAGGCCCTCTCCAGGCTCCAGCAGCTCTGCCGTCAGTGGCTGCAGCCCGAGCTGCACACCAAGGAGCAGATTCTGGAGCTGCTGGTGCTGGAGCAGTTCCTGAACATCCTGCCTCCAGAGATCCAGGCTCGGGTCAGGCATCGATGTCCAATGAGCAGCAAGGAGATTGTGACCCTGGTGGAAGATTTTCAAAGAGCAGCCAAGAGACCAAAGCAGTGGGTAAGGAGGGCCCTCTTTCATGGTCCCAGGATTTCTTTGTCACCTGGATAGTATCTGCTCTCTGGATCCCTCCCTAGTCAGAGTCCAGAAATGGCTTCAGATGTGGCTTCTGACCTCTATTTGGGAACACCCCCTGGGAAAAGTAACAGGTTTTCAGAAAACCCAGGCACTGGCACTCCAGTGAGGAAGCAGAGGGTCAAGTAAGGTCCTTGCATTGTTGCCCACACATTTCCCCACACCCATTCCTTCTGAAGTTTTCCTAGGGTCAGGATTCTTAGCAGCAGGGTCATGTAGGGTAGGAATTTGACTTGGGTGGAACTTCATGGTAGACCATGCTTTGGTGAAGTGTCTTCCCTTCAGATCAGGAAGCTGCAGCTCACTTGGTGGGTATTTCTTCCAACCCCCATCTACAAGTCAGACCCCAGTCAGGGCCTAGGCAGAAAGCAAACAACCACGTGCTTTGAGGAATGGAGGCAGTCAGAAACAGGGTGGGTAGTCCTCTCAGAGCCCTGCTACTACTGGGATCTCCTTACCAGAGAAGCCTTGGGCGGGACGATTTATTAGTTTTTTTAATGGCCTGATCATATTCCTTCCTGATCCAGTGGGGCCTATTTTCAATAGAAGTAAGGAGGCGGGTGGACATAGGGTGAGATACTGCTGTGCCAGTGTCATGACTGACCTTGTTATCTGTGCTTTCTCTTATGACTTTGAGGCTCTAAGAAAGACCCTCGTTTAGGGGCACCCACTCAGGAAGTCTCAGCTGGTTTGAAGCAGCCTCCACGGGTTAGGATTAATCTCCCTAGTCATTCTGCATGTCTTTCCTTATGCTACCTTTGAGAGTTTCCACAGTCTCTCACAGTTGGCCTCCAGGCTGTTATGGGGAATTCCCAGGGCAAAGGAATCATTACAGAGCAGTGAGAGGTCAAGCTGCCCCCGGTCAGTCCTTGAGCTGTGCTCTAATGCATAGGGCTTGTTCCTAGGTGGCCGTTTGTATGCAAGGGCAGAAGGTGCTCTTGGAGAAGACTGGATCTCAGCTTGGAGAACAGGAACTCCCAGACTTTCAACTGCAAACTCCTAGGAGGTATCCCAGAGAGAGTTCTGTGGAGGAGCCTTCCCAGGCGGGATCTCAGGATCAGCTGAGCTCTCATCATTGGGAAAAATCCCCGCCCCTTCAGGAACCAGGCCCCAAATTGGCTGGGACAGGTAAACACTCCATGCTTCTTCTCTCCCTCTCCTAAATTCTTTACCTCCATCAGAACATCTTGTGGTTCTGAAACCCCATAGACCACACCTTGGTTTTTCAAATGTTTTATGTGACTGTAGGTCTTTATTCCCTAATGAATTCCATTAATTAGAATGGCAGTGATAGTATATATAAGAAGTGTGGTTCTGTCATTTTCTATTAATGACTCTTTGACAGTCCAGTGCACAACAGGATTATCTACTCTGTCCCCTTCAGAGCTGCTTATAATGAAGACAGATCCACATATGACCGTTGATGAACATCCATACAAATCTGGCCGAGTTCCATCCCTTAAAATGGTCCCATGTTGAGAAGGGGCCTAAAGAATGTTGTGCTCATTAGAGGAAAAGACCTGGTCCATATTATTTTCTGCCTCTTCCTCCTCCTGTGACATTGTCTGTGCTTTAAATCCTTGTGTCCATTTCCCTATCTGTCCATGGTACAATGCCAGTGATTGCTGGCCCTGCTGTACTCCGTACTGTGATCTCAGACTGAGTTACGGAGACACTTTGGTCAGTCTTAGTGATGTGAATAGAGGGGACAGTCAGCAGGTTAAAGAAGGTTTCCAAAAGGTTGGATCACCTTGGTTCCCTAAGATTTGCTACATGCAGTGAAACACCTTGGATTGGTTATTCTTGGAACATAGGAATAAAGAAGACCTGGGGCATCCAGCAGAAAAGAACTGTGACCCTGGCTGAGGTCCTGCCCTATAACCTATGGACTTCATGCCCCTGAGCACACACATTCCCTTCTCCTGCCTCATTGCAGGCATCTCAGTGCGCTTGTGGGCCCTGTCTCCTTTTATTTGATCCCCGAAGGTGGATTATCATGTTCCTCACCTCCAAGATCGAGTAATGCCTCCCTTCAGAGCTGCACTGCCCAGTAAGTTGCCTCTAGCCACATGTGACTATGTAAATTTTATTAAGGAGATACAGTATAAAATTCACCCCTTTGAAGTATGCATTTCAGTGTTGTTTAGTACATTCACACACGTTTGCGACCATCCCCATTTATCCAATTCTTGAAAATTTTCATGACCTCAAAAAGAAACCCAGACTCCTCGGCAGTCACTTTCTAGCACCCACTCTCCAGCCCCTGGCAACCACCATCTCCTTTGTCTCTGGATTTGCTTATTGTGGATATTTCAGGATGATATATGTTGTGCTCTTCTGTGACTGGCTTCTTTCACTGAGCACGTTTTCAAAGTTATCCATGTTGTAACATGCATCACGACTTCATTTGTTTTTATGGCTAATATTCTGTTTTGTTCATTCATCAGTTGATGGTCATTTGGGAGGTGTTTCCACTTTTTGGCTATCATGAATAGTGGTGCTATGAACTTTTGTGGATGAGTTTTTGTGTGGACATTGTTTTCATTTCTCTTGTACCTAGGAGTGGAATTGCTGGGTTAGACAGTAGCTCTATGTTTAATCTTTTGAGGAAACGCCAGACTCTTTTCCAAAGCAGCTGTGCCATATTACATTTCCGCCAGCAGTCCCTGTAAGAATTCTAATTTCTCCACATCCTTGTCAACACTTGTCGTGTTTCGGTTACAGCAGTCTTGTTAGGTAAAAACCGGTATCTCATGGAGGCTTTACTTCCCTGATGGCAAATAATGTTGAACATCTTTTCATGTGCTTATTGGTCAATTGTATATCTTCTTTGGAGAAATATCCATTCAGATCCTTTGCCCATCTATTAATTGGGTCAGTATTTTGTTGTTGTAAGAGTTCTTTACAGGGGCGCTTGGGTGGCTCAGTGGTTGAGCATCTTCTTCAGCTCAGGGTGTAATCTGGGGTCCAGGATTGAGTCCCGCATTGGGCTCCTCGCAGGGAGCCTGCTTCTCCCTCTGCCTATGTCTCTGCCTCTCTTTGTCTCTGTGTCTCTTGTGAATAAATAAATAAAAAATCTTTAAAAAAAATCTTTATATACCCTGGATACTCAACACCTGTTTTCTCTCCATGTGAGTTGTTATTTCACTTCCTTGATAGTATCCTTTGAAGCACAGATGTTTCTAATTTTGATCAACTCCAATTTATCTGTTTTTCTCTTCTTTGCTTGTGTTTTTGGTGACATATCTAAAATACCATTGCCTAATCTGAAATTACAAAGATTTAAACCTATGTTTTGCTCAAAGAAACATTGGTTTAGCTCTTCTATTTAGGTCTTTGATTCATTTTGAGTTATTATTTGTGTGTTGTGAGGTAGGGGTCCAACCTCATTCTTTTGCATGTGAAAAATCCAGTTGTCCCAGCACCCCCCTTTTTTTTAATATTTTACTTATTTATTCATGAGAGAGAGAGAGAGGCAGAGACACAAGCAGAGGGAGAAGCAGGCTCCACACACGGAGCCCGACGTGGGACTCGATCCTGGGACTCCAGGATCACGCCCTGGGCCAAAGGCAGGCGCCAAACCGCTGAGCCACCCAGGGATCCCCTTTAAACTTTCCTCTCTCTTTTTTTTTAGATTTTATTTATTGAGAGAGAGAGAATGGCTTGGACACAGGCAGAGGGAGAAGCAGGCTCCATGCAGGGAACCTGACTTGGGACTCGATCCGGGATCTCCAGGATCACGCCCCAGGCTGCAGGCATTGCTAAACAGCTGCGCCACCGCCACCCTTTACTGAGAGACTATTCTTTCCCCAATTAATTGCCATGACAACCTTGTTGAAAAGCAGTTGAGGGGCAGCCCCGGTGGCTCAGCAGTTTAGCGCCGCCCTCGGCCCAGGGTGGGATCCTGGAGACCTGGGATCCAGTCCCAGTCGGGCTTCCTGCATGGAACCTGCTTCTCCCTCTGCCTGTGTTGTGTCTCTGCCTCTCTCTCTCTCTCTCTCTCTCTCTCTCTCTCTCTGTCTCTCATGAATAAATAAAATCTTTAAAAAAAAGAAAAGAAAAGCAGTTGACCATAATTGCATAGAGTGCTTAGAGTGCTTATTTAAGTTTGAATTAAAATTAGGTAAGATTAGATAAAATTAAAAATTCTGTTTCTCAGTCATGCTAGCTACATTTCAAGGACTCAGTAGCCTCATGTAGCTAGTGGCTGCCATATTGAATAGCATGTGCACATGTGCACATACACACATACTTCCCGTCTGTCAGAAATCCTGTGGGATAACACAGCTGTAGATCCTCCAACTTGCCCACAGACATTCCAGCTTGTTCCATCCTGATTCTCAATCCTGATGGTCAGAAACTGCAGAGTTTCTGAAGTTAGGATACATGTCTAACCCGTATTGCAGTTCGTAACCCTAATGCTGTCACTTTGTAATGAAGAAACACTCCACATTTGCTGGATTTCCATTATTTCAAGAGATAGTGGTGATCATTCAGTGTCCATGTGACTATAGTTGCAGTTTTGAAAGTTCAACTCTCTCATTTGTTAATTGGTGCTCAAGTCTGATGGGTTTGCTTTTCCATATTTCTTCTTTCCCTAACGTTTCCCTAAAGGTAGGAAAGAGAGATGGGGTTGGAGAACTTGGTTCTTAACTTTGATATAAATAACAATCACCCCAGGAGCCTGTTACTCCTGTAGATTTCCAGGTCCCAACCCCCACTCTACCCCCCAGAGATTCTGACTCAGCAGCCACGGGGATGCAGGGGCAGCCTGCTTGTGTAACAAGTGCCACATATGAGTTGAATGGAAGTCGCCAGTGGAGGACCACACTTTGAGAATATTTCTTAGCTCTTTTGCTGAGATTTCTTCAAAGCCCAGAAAATGAAACATATTCTTTCTAATTATAGAGACTCCCAGAATGAAAAGTGACAACAAGGAAAATCCGCAGCCAGAGGGGGCTAAAGGAGGAAAGCTATGTGCAGTGTCCCCTGGCAGATCCAAAGGGAATAGTCTACAGAGTCCTGAGCCGAGAGGGGTGAATATGAATGAATCCCGGTTGTCACGGAGGCAGGTCAGTCCCCCGAATGCTCAGAAGCCATTCGCTTACTACCAGAGACATTGCAGGGAACTGGAATACATCAGCAGCCCCCTGAAAAGCCACCCACTGAGAGAGCTGAAGAAAAGCAAAGGAAGCAAAAGGAGCCTGAGCAGTCGTTTGCAACGTCTTGGTCACCAGCCAACCCATTCAGCAAAGAAGCCGTACAAATGTGATGACTGTGGGAAAAGCTTCACATGGAATTCGGAGCTGAAAAGACACAAGCGCGTACACACAGGGGAGAGGCCCTACACATGCGGAGAGTGTGGGAACTGCTTTGGGCGCCAGTCTACCCTAAAGCTGCACCAGAGGATCCACACCGGAGAGAAGCCATACCAGTGCAGCCAATGTGGGAAAAGTTTTCGCCAGAGCTCAAACCTCCACCAGCACCACAGACTCCACCACGGGGACTGAGAGCAAGCCTCATTCTCCCTGTTCAGAAGGAAAGCATCTATAAGGCTTCTGTGTTTCTCCTTCCCCTGACTTGCATGTAAATCACAGACTGTGTGTGTGACTTACAGGGAAAGCAAGAAGTCCTCAAGGAATGCCAGTGCATATTTGGCTGCTGAGGAGTCCCAGAAGACATCAAGGGGGATGTGACCCTGTCAGTGACAGAGTGAAGAGATGTCAGGTCTGGGTGTTAGGTGAGAGAGAACTGAGGTCTCTGCTTTCCAGCAGAGAGTAACTGCTAAGACAATCTGGCTGATCCTGCAGGTGCCCCTGTCCCTTTATTTATTCTCTAAATACGTTCAAGGGTAAATCACACATGTAGTTAATGTACTGTCATACCAGACAATCTTTATCACATACACACTTCTTTAATAAAGATCAGTGACCCACTAGAATTTCAAGGCAAAAGTTCATTGGAATATAAATCCCCTAATATTCTTACTGAAATTCCTGGCTATTCTTAACAAAGGGCACATGGAGTGAGACTTTGAACATGTTTGTATGAGGAGAGGATTTCCAAGTAAATAGTGCTTTTACACGTGCATGCACACATTTATATGAAAGCACCTTTGATTGGGAAAAATCTACACAGCTGCCATAGTCCCCACCCAGGTGACGGGAAAGCTACAAGAGGAAAGAAGCATGTAGTGCGTGTAGACAGCTAAGGACATACCAAAGGGAACCCTTACTGTTCTCCTTCCTTACTTAGGCCAGCAGCCTTAAGAATAACAAAATGATTGGAGTGAGGAAGTGTTATTTATAAATAAGTGGATTATCTCAGCACATTTACTAAAACCCATTAAAATTGATTACTTTTTTGATACATTGTATCTAAATGAATTTTCTAAAAATACACAAAATATATTTGTATAGAATGTAAAAGTTCTGGAATGAGGCCAGAGAATTGATCTAATTCCATCCTTTCATTCTCTCAAAGTAAGAATCCAAAGAATCCAAACCAATCAGTATAGTGTTTAGTCACCCAGAGCAAGCCAGCCGACCTCTGAGTTCAGAGAAGACTGTTGGTAGAATGGTGCACTGCCTCAAGCAGGAAACAGGTAGATGACATTCTTGCAAAAGCATCTGTATCTTCTAGTCACTGCCAGTCACCTCTGGGCTGTGTCCTTTGCTGCATCCTCACCCCCTAGGCCTCTGCACATGCTTCTCCTTTGATTTTAGGACCTGGCACCTCCCTCCACTACTTCCTCCACCTCCCATCTCACAGGAACATCCTACTCAGCAAAACCTTCTCTGACTGGTTCCAGGCAGATTTTATTGTGTTACTCCCTGCTCTACTGTGCACACCAGTGGTGGTCAACCTGGGAGCAGTTTTGCACCCCCGCCCCCAGAGGACATTTGGTCATGTGTGGAAATGTTGGTTGTTATGACTCGGGGAGAGGGAGGGTAGTTCTCGTTCCTGGCCTCTCTTGGGTAGAGACCGGGATGCAGCTAAATGTCCCACAGTGGACAGGACAGCCCCACAACACAGTGCAGTCTCCTGGCCCAAAGTATCAGTAGTGCCAAAGTTGGGGAACTGTACCGTACACAGTAAAAGCCCTTTAAGGACAAGAGCCTTATTTTTCTATCATTTTAGTTTTAGACTAAGCCCACACCCAGCCAAGAGAAATAGCTGTTCAGCAGGGCCCTGTCCTGCCTGAATCAGAGATCCTGGTGTGTTGAATGCAGTTGACAAAGCCTCTTGCCTTTGGGCAGAGAGAGACTTAATGGAAGCTCAGTGGCTTTTAGACTATGCTGCAGTCCCCTTCCTGGCAACCATGTTAAATGTTAAAGGAGCTTGTCTTCATTACTACACCTGCGCCTTACCTTGCCCCCATCTCTAGCCTCTCACCAGTAGAGCCTCTTGATTCCTCACTGGCTCCCACCTCATCCATCTTTTTGCAGCACAGTTTTGCTGTCACAAGGCCCTCCTAATCATAGTTTACATATGTCAGTTTCCTGTTGGCGCTATAACATGACCACAAACTTAGTGGCTTCAAACAACACAAACATAATCTCTTAGAGTTGCAAATCTTGAAGTCTAAAATCAGTTTCACAGAATCAAAATTCAGGTGTCCAAGGCTGAATCTGTTTCCTCAACTTTCTCAGCTAGTGGCTGCTTGTGTTCTGTGGCTTGTGGCCTCTCCATCCTCAAAGTGCACGCCTCCACCTGTCACCACATCACCTTGTCCTCTTGCTCTGACCCACCAGCACCCTCTTGAAAGGGCCATCATGATTATATTGGGCCCACCCAGATAATCCAAGATAACCCCCCCATCTCAATTTTCATAATCACATCTGCACAGTCCCTTTTGCCATATAAGGTAACATTTACAGGTTTTAGGGATTAGGATGTAGACATACTTGGGGGGCCAGATTCAGCCACCACACCTGTCTGTTAAATCAACTTTGTTGGTCAATGATCTCACCTAAAAGCAAAGGAACTTAGATTTCCACTATTAATTAAGAGGGTTGCAATAGGACCTCTTCCTTAAAGGAAAGCTTTGTTTGTTTGCTATGTTTTGAAGAACCTGTATGTGTTCTTTCTCTTCTGAACAAAATAACAGCTGAATCTTAAAGTCTTTGGGTATTTGTTCAACTGTGGTCCTTGAATAAATGTGACAAAATTACCAATATGAATATCACTCATTCCCAAAAGGTTTTCAAGCCTCTGATGCTACATTGGCTCTTCCAGTCTGGTTTTCCTCTGGCAGATAAGGCTCAACTCCAGGTGAGTAGAGTCTGAAGGCTGGAGAAAGGCACCCAGCCATATTTGAGGGTGTACTCAGTTCCTCAGATGTAGTATCCTCCCTGTCCCCATTGCCCTCATGGTTCCACCAGAGAACTTGAGCATAGACTACTTACTTGCAGGCTTGCAATTACCTACTCCATATAAGAAGTACTTTCTCTTCACCCATGAGCAACCTGTAAGGTTACCATATTTTCTGAGTTTGGTCTGTGTTTAACCATGGAGGGGGATGACTCCCACCTAAGTTATTTGGTCTCCTGGTGGCCTCCATCAAGACAGGGGGAGAAGGAAGCATCTGTGCACAGTGGAGAATCTGGACCTTGCAGATATCCCTGAAAAGCATTTTCCATCTACAGCAGATAAGGACTTGTAAAACCTTTCCCATAATACCTTTACTGCTTCTGACAACAACTCCCAAATACCATCCAATACACGCTGTTGAAATTATCTCCAAGTTTCCAAAAGAAAAATGCTACTTTTACAGCTTTACTGAGGTCCATTCCCCATGTAACCTTCATCCCTTTATATAGTTCAGTAATTACATTAGTCACAGAATTATGCAACCGTCACCACAATCTAATTTGAGAACATTTTCACAGCTAAAAAAGAAACTCCATGATGCTTAGCATCACTCCTCATCCCTGTGCCCCCTTGAACCCCCCTTCACTCAGCACAATGTCTTCAAGGTTCTGTTGTGTCGTAGCAGGTGTTAGTACCCTATCCTTTCCGTGACTGAATAATATTCCACTGTGTGGATGGACCACTTTTGTTTATCTATTCATCCCATAGACATTTGGTTGTTTCCACTTTGGGGCTCCTGTGAATTGTGCTGCTATGAATGTGTGTATAAGTTTTTCTGTGAATGGGCACCCATGTGGGTCAGTCAGTTAGGCAGCTGCCTTCGGCTCAGGTCATGATCCCAGGGTTCTGGGATTGAGCCCTGCATTGGCCTCCCTGCTCAATGGGGAGTCTGCTTTTTCCTCTCCCTGCGTCTCTCCTCCCTGCTCTTGCTCTCTCTCAAATAAATAAAATAAAAATTTTAAGTTTTTCCCTGAATATGTAGTTTCATTTCTCTTGGGTAAATACCAGGAGTAGAATTGCTGGGTCATATGGTAACTTTATGTGGAGCTGTTTCTGAGGAGCTGCCAGGGTCTGCACCCCAGTTCCCCACCTGTACTGTATGAGGGTCTCAGTTTCTCCACGTTCTTGTTAGCACTTGCTATCATCAACTGGTTATAACCACGCTAGTCTGTATGAAGTGCTATCTCACTGTGGTTTGTGTTTGTGGTTTTTTTTAAGATTGTATTTATTCATGAGAGACATAGAGACAGAGGCAGAGACACAGGCAGAGGGAGAAGCAGGCTCCCTGCGGGGAGCCCGATGTGGGACTCAATCCTGGATCCCAGGATCATGACCTGAGCCACAGGCAGACGCTCAACCGCTGAGCCACTCCGGCATCCCTTGGTTTGCATTTGTTGATATTGGGCATCTTTTCATATGTTTACTGGCCATATGTGTATCTTCTTTAGAGAAATGGCTATTCAAAACCTCTGCTTTTTAAAATTGGGTTGTTTTTTCATTGTTAAATTGTAAGAGTCCTTTATAGATCCTGGAATCAAGTCCTTATCAGATATAAGACTTGCAAATATTTTCTCTCCTTTTGTAATATTTTTGTGCAATTGCAATCCATCTTTTAATGCAGCTGTCACCTGCCAATATACAAAAGTGGCCAGTATGGTCACAATTCCTGAGTTGCCAGTGAAACAGAAGTATGAGGCAACCCTCTCCAAATGTCACTCTCTAGAATGGCTCTAAAAATTTGTCTTGGACAAGATAAGGGCAGAGCCAGCTAGACGAACCCCAAGAACCTACCTTGTCTTGGGAGTGATTTGGCCGAAGTGAGATCTGAGGCAGCTCATTAAACCGGAAGAGTCGACTTCTTGCCAGGCTAAGATAGGCATGACTTTGCACCTGGCTGTGTCATTCTCCAGCCCAGTGACCTGGATGCATCATTTAAAACATCAAGGTCTACTCTACACTGAGCAAAATGACTAGAAGGAAAACCTCACCTCAAAAGAATCAGAAACAGTCCTCTCTCCCACAGAGTTACAAAATCTGGATTACAATTCAATGTCAGAAAGCCAATTCAGAAGCACTCTTATAAAGCAACTGGTGGCTCTAGAAAAAAGCATAAAGGACTCACGAGACTTTATGACTGCAGAATTTAGATCTAATCAGGCAGAAATTAAAAATCAATTGAATGAGATGCAATCCAAACTAGAAGTCCTAACGACGAGGGTTAACGAGATGGAAAAACGAGTGAGTGACATAGAAGACAAGTTGATGGCAAAGAGGGAAACTGAGGAAAAAAGAGACAAACAAAAGACCATGAGGATAGATTAAGGGAAATAAATGACAGCCTGAAGAAGAAAAACCTACGTTTAGTTGGGGTTCCCGAGGGCGCTGAAAGGGACAGAGGGCCAGAATATGTATTTGAACAAATCATAGCTGAAAACTTTCCTAATCTGGGAAGGGAAACAGGCATTCAGAACCAGGAAATAGAGAGATCCCCTCCCTAAAATCGAAAAAAACCGTTCAACACCTTGACATTTAATAGTTAAGCTTGCAATTCCAAAGATAAAGAGAAGATCCTTAAAGCAGCAAGAGACAAGAAATCCCTGACTTTCATGGGGAGAAGTATTAGGGTAACAGCAGACCTCTCCACAGAGACCTGGATGGCCAGAAAGGGCTGGCAGGATATATTCAGGGTCCTAAATGAGAAAAACATGCAACCAAGAATACTTTATCTAGTAAGGCTCTCATTCAGAATGGAAGGAGAGATAAAGAGCTTGCAAGACAGGCAGGAACTGAAAGAATATGTGACCTCCAAACCAGCTCTGCAAGAAATTTTAAGGGGGACTATCAAAATTCCCCTTTAAGAAGAAGTCCAATGGAACAATCCACAAAAGCAGGGACTGAATAGGTATCATGATGACACTAAACTCGTATCTTTCAATAGTAACTCTGAACGTGAATGGGCTTAATGACCCCATCAAAAGGTGCAGGGTTTCAGGCTAGATAAAAAAGCAGGACCCATCTATTTGCTGTCTACAAGAGATTCATTTTAGACAGAAGGACACCTACAGCCTGAAAATAAAAGGTTGGAGAACCTTTTACCATTCAAATGGTCCTCAAAAGAAAGCAGGAGTAGCCATCCTTATATCAGATAAACTAAAATTTACCCTGAAGACTGTAGTGAGAGATAAAGAGGTACACTATATCATACTTAAAGGATCTATCCAACAAGAGGACTTAACAATCATCAATATATATGCCCCGAATGTGGGAGCTGCCAAATATATCAATTAATAACCAAAGCTAAGACATACTTAGATAATAATACACTTAGACTTGGTGACTTCAATCTGGCGCTTTCTACACTACATAGGTCTTCTAAACACAACATCTCCAAAGAAATGAGAGCTTTAAATGATACACTGGACCAGATGGATTTCACAGATATCTACAGATAACTACAGAACTTTACATCCAAACTCAACTGAATACACATTCTTCTCAAGTGCACATGGAACTTTCTCCAGAATAGACTACATACTGGGTCACAAATCGGGTCTGAACCAATACCAGAAAATTGGGATCATCCCCTGCATATTCTCAGACCATAATGCCTTGAAATTAGAACTAAAGCACAACAGGAAGTTTGGAAGGACTTCAAACACGTGGAGGTTAAGGACCATCCTGCTAAAAAGATGAAAGGGTCAACCAGGAAATTAAGGAAGAATTAAAAAGATTCATGGAAACTAATGAGAATGAAGATACAACCGTTCAAAATCTTTGGGATGCAGCAAAAGCAGTCCTGAGGGGGGAATACATCGCAATACAAGCATCCATCCAAAAACTGGAAAGAACTCAAATACAAAAGCTAACCTTACACCTAAAGGAGCTAGAGAAAAAACAGCAAATAGATCCTACACCCAGCAGAAGAAGAGAGTTAATAAAGATTCGAGCAGAACTGAACGAAATCGAGACCAGAAGAACTGTGGAACAGATCAACAAAACCAGGAGTTGGTTCTTTGAAAGAATTAATAAGATAGATAAACCATTAGCCAGCCTTATTACAAAGAAGAGAGAGAAGACTCAAATTAATAAAATCATGAATGAGAAAGGAGAGATCACTACCAACACCAAGGAAATACAAACGATTTTAAAAACATATTATGAACAGCTATACACCAATAAATTAGGCAATCTAGAAGAAATGGACGCACTTCTGGAAAGCCACAAACTACCAAAACTGGAACAGCAAGAAATAGAAAACCTGAACAGGCCAATAACCAGGGAGGAAATTGAAGCAGTCATCAAAAACCTCCCAAGACACAAAAATCCAGGGCCAGATGGCTTCCCAGGGGAATTCTATCAAATGTTTAAAGAAGAAACCATACCTATTCTACTAAAGCTGTTTCGAAAGACAGAAAGAGGTGGAGTACTTCCAAATTCATTCTATGAATGATTCCAAAACCAGACAAAGACCCCACCAAAAAGGAGAATTATAGACCAATATCCCTGATGAACATGGATGCAAAAATTCTCAACAAGATACTAGCCAATAGGATCCAACAGTACATTAAGAAAATTATTCACCATGACCAAGTAGGATTTGTTCCCGGGACACAAGGCTGGTTCAACACTCATAAAACAATGTGATTCATCATATCAGCAAGAGAAAAACCAAGAACCATATGATCCTCTCATTGGATGCAGAGAAAGCATTTGACAAAATACAGCATCCAGGGATCCCTGGGTGGCGCAGCGGTTTGGCGCCTGCCTTTGGCCCAGGGCGCGATCCTGGAGACCCGGGATCGAATCCCACATCGGGCTCCCGGTGCATGGAGCCTGCTTCTCCCTCTGCCTGTGTCTCTGCCTCTCTCTCTCTCTCTCTCTCTCTCTGTGACTATCATAAGTAAAATAAAAAAAAAATTAAAAAAAATGTTCTTTAAAAAAAAAAAAATACAGCATCCATTCCTGATCAAAACTCTTCAGAGTGTAGGGATAGAGGGAACATTCCTCAACATCTTAAAAGCCATCTACAAAAAGCCCACAGCAAATATCATTCTCATTGGGGAAGCACTGGGAGCCTTTCCCCTAAGATCAGGACCAAGACAGGGATGTCCACTCTCACCACTGCTATTCAACAAAGTACTGGACGTCCAAGCCTCAGCAATCAGACAACAAAAAGACATTAAAGGCATTCGAATTGGCAAAGAAGAAGTCAAACTCTCCCTCTTCGCCGATGACATGATATTCTACATAGAAACCCCCCCCCAAAAAAAGAACCTCACCCCAAGATTGCTAGAACTCATACAGCAATTTGGCAGCATGGCAGGATACAAAATCAATGCCCAGAAGTCAGTGGCATTTTTATACACTAACAATGAGACTGAAGAAAGAGAAATTAAGGAGTCAATCCCATTTACAATTGCACCCAAAAGCATAAGATACCCAGGAATAAACCTAACCAAAGAGGTAAAGGATCTATACCCTAAAAACTATAGAACACTTCTGAAAGAAATTGAGGAAAACACAAAGAGATGGAAAAACATTCCATGCTCATGGATTGGCAGAATTAATATTATGAAAATGTCAATGTTACCCAGGGCAATTTACACGTTTAATGCAAGCAATCCCTATCAAAATACCATGGACTTTCTTCAGAGAGTTAAAACAAATTATTTTAAGATTTGTGTAGAATCAGAAAAGACCCCCAATAGCCAGGGGAATTTTAAAAAAAGAAAACCATAGCTGGGGGGGCATCACAATGCCAGATTTCAGGTTGTACTACAAAGCTGTGGTCATCAAGACAGTGTGGTACTGGCACAAAAACAGACACATAGATCAATGGAACAAAATAGAGAATCCAGAAGTGGACCCTGAACTTTATGGTCAACTAATATTCGATAAAGGAGGAAAGACTATCCACTGGAAGAAAGACAGTCTCTTCAATAAATGGTGCTGGGAAAATTGGACATCCACATGCAGAAGAATGAAACTAGACCACTCCCTTGCACCATACACAAAGATAAACTCAGAATGGATGAAAAATCTAAATGTGAGACAAGATTGCATCAAAATCCTAGAGGAGAACACGGGCGACACCCTTTTTGAACTTGGCCACAGTAACTTCTTGCAAGATACATCCATGAAGGCAAAAGAAACAAAAGCAAAAATGAACTATTGGGACTTCATCAAGATAAGAAGCTTTTGCACAGCAAAGGATACAGTCAACAAAACTAAAAGACAACCTACAGAATGGGAGAAGATA